TGCAGCTTCATCAATGCACATCAGTAAAGGAGAAAAATTACCTGTTTGCAAAATTTTATAATAGAAACAAAGAAAACCTTTTTTTTTTCAAATTTTTTGCGCTTTTTTGTTTATAGTGCAAAAAATAAAACATCCAGTGGAGAGTAAATCCCACTAAAAGAAAGCTCTATTTGTGTGGAAAAAAAAAGATAAAAACTTCATATGGGTACAGTGTTGCATGACCACGTAATTGTCATTCAAAGTGCAACAACACTGAAAGCTGAAAATTGGCCTGGGCAGGAAGGGGGTAAAGTGCCTGGTAGGCTAGTGGTTAACTGAAAGTTCTGATGGGCTTTAAAGTTTTGGATGGAGTGGGGAAGGATAAGAAGCATAGTCTGGTTTTTACTTCTAGTCTATTTAGAGATTTCCCCTCGCTGACTACCACAACTGTTTCACCAAACAGGAAGTAAAGTATATGTGCAATAGGAATACAGACAGAAATAATAGGCTGATAATTTTCTATTTAAAAAAGTATATTTTTTTTTCTGTCAGTGGCCTGGTTGGAGATGTTCCCTCACTTCCCTTATACTAAAACTATCAGTAAGCCAGGGGAAATCAGATCTAACTCAGCTTTGGATAGCAGCAAGAAATGGACAGGAGGACTAATCCTTCCCCACTCCATCCAAGACTACAAAAATGTTGGTTGGACATTAATGTAAAAATAATGGTATCCCTTTGCAACATAAGGACAGTACTATTGGTGGCACAATAATATCCATAGGAGCCCATGTGGCTACTATGGGGCCTGGGGGTGGAAGGGGACCCCAATAGGGAGGTTGTTGACCTGACAGGAGGAGTAATCAGGATGCTCACTAGTTGCAAATCCTCTTTGCTTTCAGTGTAGGATGTAGAATTTGTTTAGGGGTCTGAGCAGTGTAGATCTCATGTGGAAAAGCGTGTCCTCCACTGGCTAATGTGGTTTCTTCTACCCTACTTCACTATAGTGTCCTGCAGAAACTAGGGATCAGCAGATACAGGGGCAGACTGACAACTCATGGGGCCCCCGGGCAATAGGGGATCATGGGGCCCCTGTGACCTCGCCCAAACCCAAAAAAGCCTATGAAAAAGCCAATGAAAGGTACCAGGGGCATCTCATGGGGCCCCCTCGGGCAGTGCCAGAGTGCTCAAATGGTCAGTCCGCCCCTGAACAGGTACCACTGTGGCAGGTGGGGAGAGGGGGGGGGGGGTACTATTTAAACGGCCTAACGCATTGACTAGGATCATCATCAGGAGTGAAGTTACTGCAAACCAGCTGATGGACATGAAGTTGTTTTCTTCCCAGGGTGCTACTGCCTCTGCCATTTCTCTAACAGGTTGCTTCAAAACAGAAGTACTAACAAACTATGTTGGCAATACCTCTCTAGGGTCACAGGAGTACATCATTTGATGGGGCAGAGCAGCATCAGGTTTGGGAAGGATCCCAACAATATTGTGGGGATCCACTCTGCTGCCTGATTGACAGCTGGCTTCATCTTTCAATGCATGAGAGCTAGAGTCAGCTGTACCCACCGATTACCTAGGCTGGGGAGAAGCTCAGAAGAAGTCCTGAAGGTGAATATGGGAGGAGGTGACACAGGAACTAGAGAACAGAAAGTCTTGGGAGGATCGAAGAGAACGGTTTGGTCAATACTTTGAGACCAGGTTGGTGATGTAGCTGGGGGCAGAGTTGTGGATGGCTTTGTAAGTTGCTGTATTTTGAATTTTATTTGTTGGGAGGGATTGATCAACTGTGTCAAAGGCAGCAGTGAGGTCCAAGAGTAAGAGAACGGAATAGTGACAGTTGGTTTTAGCGATTAGTAAGTCGTTTGTGAGTTTTAGGAGAGCAGTTTCTGTGGAGTGTTGTGGGCGAAATCCAGACTGAAGGGGATGGAGAAGGTTATTCTCTATGAGGTGGGAGCTCAGATGGTTGTAGACTAGATGTTCAAGGAGTTTGGAAGCAAAAAGGGAGCAAGGAGATGGGTCTTAGGTTGCTAAGATTGGCGGGGTCAGGTATGGCTTTTTAAGTATGGGGGTGACTAGCGCATGTTTAGAGGGTTGGGGAAGATGGCAGTAGAAAGGGAGAGATTGAAGATATGAGTTAGAGTGAAGAATAAAGCCAGAGGGTGACCTTAGTATTTGCAAGGGAACAGGGTCCAGGAGATAGGTGCTTAGGCGGGCTTTAGAAAAAAGTTTACCAACTTCCTCTATAGTAGCTGGGTTATACAAGGGAAGTGTAGATTGTGCTGGTGGACAAGGAGTGTAAGGTGAGGGAGATATCTGTACAGTGGAGATCTTGTCACAAATTGTATCAATCTTCTTTTTGAAGTGATTAGCGATCTCCTGGGCAGATAGTGAGTTAGTGGGTGGAGGTAATGAAGGACGAAGTAGAGAGTTAAAGGTAGAAAAGCGTTGACGGGGATTGAGAGGGTGTTAATGAGAGTGATAAAATAGGTCTGTTTGGCAGTGTGGAGACAGGAATTGTATTTTTGAAGGGCAGATTTATATTGGTCAAATTCTTGCTGGGTCTTAGTCTTACGCCATAAACGCTTGAGCACGGCTATGTTTTTTGAGGCATCTGGTATTGTCTGTTTGCCAGGGCTGTAGTGTTCGGGGCCTAATTCTGTGTGTAGTGAGGGGGCAATGTGACCAGGGTGGATGACAGTGAACTGTTGTAGACAGAAGTGGCCAGGTTGGGGCGGGACAGAGCTGTGATTTTGTCATAGAGACAAAATATGTCTCTACTACACTATGAATTAAGTCCAGTTAAGACAACTATCATTGTAGTTCCTGGAGAGTGATTCTGATTCTTCTGATCTCTGCATCAGAGTCTCTGCAGCAGCTTTGCCCACCCCTCCTGTCCATTCACAGAAGCCTTGATATTATGGGAACACATTCACAAAAAGGCTTCTGTGAATGGGCAGTAGAGGGGAGAGCATAGCTGCTCTGTGCATTTCCCTCCCTTCAGATTCCCAGAGCATCTCTTCAGCAGAACAATAAACCTATCAGATGTAAATAATAGAAGTCCAGGAGATGTCATGCAGCTCCTTGGACGTAATACATAGTATGCCTTAACATTTTACAAAGTGGCTGAATTCCTGGAATTCAGCTTTAAAGTTAAATCCAAGCACTTAAAATCCCCCCCAACCCTTTGTACACAAATATACAAATGTAAATACATGCATTGCGGGCACCTACGCAGGAAAATGTCAATTGCACTGCACATGTTACATATCTTTGCGCACGTTGGATTGAGAACAATAATTCTAGACCCATTATTCACAAGTAACTCTACACTGATGACCTGTAGGGACTTTTAAAGCATCACCTATAGAAAACATAGGAAACCAAAGTATGCAATTTTAAGGGATGACATGTTGGGTATCTATTCACTCGGCGCTACTTCAATTTTTTAAATTTTAAAATGACTTTAATACCGCGCTATAGCCAAAAGAAGGCTACAGCATGGTTCTCTTGTTCTCAGAGGGTGCGCTCTGTGACCGCTGTGTCCTTTGGAACCCAGCTGATCACAGATTGTGGTAAGGGGCCAGTCACAGCAGCCTTTTACCATATGATCAGCTGTGTCCAATCACAGCTGATCACATGTAAACAGACTTGCCCGTTGTCGGCAGTCCTTTCCTCACACGCTGTGTCTGTACCCAGGAAGGCTGTCAGCACTTTGTCTACACTGATAATCGGGGCACTGATGATCAGTGCAGCTTATCAGTGCCTATTAGTGCTGCCTATAAGTGCTCATCAGTTCAGCCTCATCAGTGACCATTAACGTAGCTTATCAGTGCCCCCTCATCACTGCAGCCTATCAGTGCTCATCAGTGCCGCCTCATCACTGCAGCCTATCAGTGCAGCTTATCACTGCAGCCTATTAGTGCCCATCAGTGCAGCCTCATCACTGCAGCCTCTCAGTGCCCATCAGTGCAGCCTTATCACTGATGCCTAGCAGTGCCCATCAGTGCAGCCTCATCACTGCAGCCTATCAGTGCCTCATCACTGCAGCCTCTCAGTGCCCATCAGTGCAGCCTTTCAGTGCCCATCAGTGCAGCCTGATCACTGCTGCCTAGCAGTGCCTCATCACTTGCAGCCTATCAGTGCCCATCACTGCAGCCTCACAGTGCCCATCAGTGCAGCCTCATCACTGCAGCCTCTCAGTGCCCATCAGTGCAGCCTTATCACTGCTGCCTAGCATTGCCCATCAGTGCAGCTTCATCACTGCTGCCTATCAGTGCAGCCTCATCACTGCAGCCTCTCAGTGCCCATCAGTGCAGCCTCATCACTGCAGCCTATCAGTGCAGCTTCATCACTGCAGCCTAATCTCTGCAGCCTATCAGTGCCCTTCAGTGCAGCCTCATCAGCATGAAACAGTGAAGAACAAAAATTGCTTATTTACAAAATTTTATTACAGAAGCGAAGGTTTTTTTCCTAGCAAAAAAAACCCAAAAAAAACCCAGTTGTAACCTAATACCACCAAAAGAAAGCTCTATCAGTATATAAAAAAATCATGTGTACAGTGTTGCATTCAAAGTGCGACAGCGCTAAAAGCTGAAGATTGGCCTGGGCAGGAAGGGGGTGAAAGTGCCCGGTACTGAAGGGTTAAAACCGAACACGTATTAAAGGGACGAGGTTGCAACTCTAAAGCAGACACTGACAGTAGAGTCTCTCCATCGTTCATTCAAAATTCAACTCTCACCACGTTCCACAATGGAACACCCCTTACCACCTGTCACCAGCAGCACGCCCACTTCCTGATTCTACTTTCGCTCCTCCCCAACTCGTTCTGATTTGCAGGTTGCCGGTCACATGACGGCATTGCGCACGCGCCATGTGCTAATTTTGTCCTCTCGGGTTCTTATTGGGCAAATGCAGTGGAACGCCTCCAAGCTTTCCCTGTTTCCATAGTAGTTGTCACATCCGGTTTAAGGCACGAAGGCGTGGCTTAGGGGTCAGTGTGACCGGTGCATGTGGCTGTCATGGCTGGGCTGGTGGACTTCAAGAACGAGGAGGAGGTGAAGGAGTACCTGGACAATCTGGGGGTGGAGTACCACTATGCGTGCTACAAGGAGAAGCAGCCTGACGGTGAGAGTGTGCCCGGTGTGAGGGAAGGGGGCTCCACCTGAAATTGGATTTTCAGATTTGTATACACTCTGATCACATCAAACCTTACAGCTGCTTAGATGACATGGCGATGTTTGCGGTGAAATCTGCGTCCTGGTCACCGCTGTGATGAGGGGGCCTCATTCTCTGTGTTCAGGTTACTCCTACGGAGAGCCGGCTGATGCGTCAGATCCCCAGTGTCATCCATTATAAATCATCTCTTCCAATAGCACACTGAAGGCATCACAGCACTAAGGTTCCATTCACATCTGAGCGGAGCCGTTTGTGCACTTTTTATGCGCGTTTGCAAATGTGTTTGATTTGTTCTTGCGTTTTCAGGTTGTTTGAGTTCTGGCGTATTTATATTAGCCAATAGAGAAATATTTCTACCATCAGTTGTTGCCATGCCAGGAAAAAAAAAACGATCTTGGTTTCCGCGATTTGCAAGTCTCCATGTATTTCTATGGGAATGAAACCGCACCAAAAATGTATCAGTCTGCCTGAATGGAGCTACAAAAGTATCTCCAAAACTTTTTTGAGCCTCAGGCATTCTGTGTTTTTATTTATTTATTTTTTCTGATGGGTGTGTTGGTGGCTTGTTCATTTGATTTGGCTGCCTAGACAAAATGTTGACTCGCCATACACATAATGCTCCATTCACACGGCTCTACCAACATTTTACAGATGTTTTCCTGTAAAAAAAAGTTTCTGCGTAACTGATACTTGCTTTTAGATCTGTTTTAACCTCTTGCCGACCGCACAATGTAGTTTTACTGCTACAGTGCAGGCCGGCTGTGCAGAATCGCGTATATAGTATATACAGGATTTTGTATTTCCAGGTAGGGGGCGCCCACTGGGTCCCCGGCTAATGATTTATGGCTGGAACCAGCTGATCGGCAGGGCGAGTGACAGGTGAAAGCTAGTAGGCAAAGACTGACCTCTCTACTGTCAATGACGATGTGTTGGTTTTTGTTTTCCCTGCAAAGAGCAGGGAGTAAAAACCGGCACATCCTCCTAGTAAAAACAGCACACAGTAAACGCATTACTAGGCGCACAGTTAACCCTTTGATTGGCCCAGATGTTAACCCCTTCCCAGCCAAGTGTCATTAGTAGTGTCAGTGTATATTATTAGCAATGATCACTATTAGAGATGAGCGAATTATTCAAAAATTCGATTCGGCTGATTCGCCGAATTTGCGGGAGAAATTCGATTCGATGCGAATTTATTCGCTGCGAATTTAACTTATTAAAAGGGTTTCTAGGCTTCAGAGAGCCTTTATATTAGTGCAGAACACTGTACCTTTAATTTAAATGCCCTTGGAGTCTGCTGGGGAAGAGAAATAATACTGTCAGTCAGTATGACATGCAGATGAGTGCCGTCGATCTTAGAATCACCGCACACTTCACTCATTTGGGCAGTCACGGGGCACGACGACGAAGAAGAATGAGAAGAAGAGAAAAGAAGAAGGAGAAGGAGGAGAAGAAGAAATGAAAAGAAGAAGAATGAAAAGAAGAATGAAAAGAAGAATGAAAAGAAGAAGAAAGTACAGCAAAAAGTGAAAAGCTATTTCTGACAGTTCTCTGACAGTTCCTTCACATTTACAGCGGTAAAACATTGTATCTATTTATTTCCGAAAAAAACATCTGTATCCTAAATGGAAACAAATAGATACATGAAAATGAACTGTCAGTACTGTCAGAGAACTGTCAGAAATAGCGGAGCTCCCTGCAGAATCGGGGAAAATTCGAACCCGAAGTTTGCTAAAAGAATGAAGAAGAATGAAAAGAAGAAGTATGAGAAGAAGAAGAATGAAAAGAAGAAGAAGAAGAATGAAAAGAAGAAGAATGAAAAGAAGAAGAAAAGAAGAATAAGAATGAAAAGAAGAAGAAGAAAATGAAAAAAAGAAGAAGAATGAAAAGAAGAAGAATGAAAAGAGAAGGAATTCCAGTACAGCAAAAAGTGTATCTGCAGAGAGCTCCGCTATTTCTGACAGTTCTCTGACAGTTCCTTCACATTTACAGCGGTTGAAACATTGTATCTATTTATTTCCGAATAAAAACATCTGTATCCTAAATGGAAACAAATAGATACAATGTTTCAACCACTGTAAATGAACTGTCAGAACTGTCAGAGAACTGTCAGAAATAGCGGAGCTCTCTGCAGTGACACTTTTTGCCGGCTGATCGGGGAAAATTCGATTTGTGCACCCGAAGTTTGCTAGAAGAATGAAAAGAAGAAGAATGAAAAAGAATAAGAAGAATGAAAAAAGAAAAAAGAAGAAGAATAAGAAGAATGAAAAGAAGAAGAAAAAGAAGAATGAAAAGAAGGAAAAAGAAGAGAAGAAGAATGAAAAGAAGAAGAATTCCAGTACAGCAAAAAGTGTATCTGCAGAGAGCTCCCCTATTTCTGACAGTTCTCTGACAGTTCCTTCACATTTACAGCGGTTGAAACATTGTATCTATTTATTTCCGAATAAAAACATCTGTATCCTAAATGGAAACAAATAGATACAATGTTTCAACCGCTGTAAATGAACTGTCAGAAATAGCGGAGCTCTCTGCAGTGACACTTTTTGCCGGCTGATCGGGGAAAATTCGATTCGTGCACCCGAAGTTTGCTAAAATTCGGATTCGGTGCGAATCGAATTTTTCCTAATATTCGAAACGAACTCCACTTCGCCAAGTTTGATTCGCTCATCTCTAATCACTATATTAATGTCATTAGTGATGTCAGTTCCCATGAAGTGTCATTAAGTGCCCGGTCACACTGGTGCAATCTCAGGTGCAAATTGAAATCACATCTAGTGAATGTCAGTGTCTTAACATTTGTGATTTGCTGCAGGTTTTTGCGATTTCACATACATAGAATATCATGGAAATTGCACTGCAAATTGCAAGAAATCATTGAAAATCTTCAAAAGTAGCTACAAAGTCTCCAGAAATCGCACCTCAAATCATGCTGAAATTGCACACAAATCACATAATTTTAAATCGCAGCGATGTGACCAGTGAGTTAGTGTCAGATTGCCCGCCGCACTATCACAGTCCCACTAGAAGTCGCTGATCACCACCATTACTAGTATAAAAAAAATTTCCAGTATACATCCCATATTTTGTAGATGCTCTAAATTTCACGCAAACCAGACATACACTTATTGGGGTGTTTCAGACATGTAGCAGAATACATTTTGGCCTAAATTTATGAAGAAATGTGATTAAAAAAACAATTTTAATTGGATATGTTTTATAGCAGAGAGAAAGAAATGTTTTTTTTTTCTTTGTTTTTTTTTAAACACAATTGTCATCAAATAAAAAATTTAAGTTGCACTAATGCCACAGACATTCCAAAACAAATAATGAGATGAGAAGACAATAGATAATACACCATAACATAATCAGTAAATGGAAGGAATATGGGAGTGAAGGGAAAGGTGAAATAATAAAGATCCAAAATGAGGACCAAAAGGTGTAACAGACCATAAAACCGTGAACATGGGTAAAATGCACGGAAATGATCAGGGAAAAATAAAATATTAACTAAATCACAGTAATAGTGGGACATATGAGTCCATCATAACATAAATGAAATAACATGAATACAATTAATGAGAAAGTGGAGCAAAATGTGAAAAATACAAAATGAAGTGCTTAAATATTAAAAATGGACAAACCACTTATCACAGAAGAATGACAATAACAACGCACAGTGAGGCCAAAAAATGTGACCATGCGAATAAAGGATCATAACACAATGTGCATCAATAGGCCATGTGACATAAAACGACTAATAAGTGACCATATAAATACCATAAATAAATGTGGCAAACATAGAGTGCAACTAGTATGAAACAGAAAATGGTGATACAAACGCACAGTGAAACCAAATGAATGGATTACTGTGCAACCTGAAAACAATAACACAATGAAGAAATAAATAACATATGACAAAAAAAAAAAAAAAATAGCATAAATGCAACATAAAGTCCGTGTGCAAAAATGTCCAACAAAAACACATATAAATAAATAACCAACGTGGATAAGTAAATGATTAGTGAATCCCACACCGGCTATAAAGACCTCCGCGCCCAGACCCCAAGGCTTTCAGGACACTCACTGCAGGGGCCTTTAGGTGGAATCCCCCTCACTGGTGGACCTTACTGTTCAGCGGTGGTAATATATCTTTCACCTTTGGACACGGAAATCAGCCAGCGCACAGAACTCCTACCAGGGGTCCGTTAGACCAGAAAAAACAGCCAGCTCACAGCACTCCCAGGGAGACAAGAAAAAGTGCTTCCATAGTGTAATATTGTAAGTGAATCACATTTATTGTAAAGACAAATGCACACTTACATGGGAACAGATCAATCACATGTGCTGATATGGGTGTATATATAAATACATTATTTTATTTTTTTTTTCTTTTTCAAACCAGAGTTTAGTGTCACTTTTAGGGACGTTCTCCCTGCTCCCATGTGACAGCTATGGGGCTTGGTGACTGGCCTGTCATGCGTCCAGCACTGTCACATAAGTGTTTATTGGTAGAAAGTGGAGACAAGACTGACCACTAGGAGGAGGCGTGGCTACAAAGACCTTTTATTTTTCCTACCGATTAAAATCTGTCAGGATATATGTATACTAATGAGTCATTAGCTGCAATTTTTTTTTTTTTTTTTTTTTTAATGCTGCATATTGCGGAATGGAATGCTAATCATGTATCACCATTTTTTTTTCCAGGCTGCCATCGTTTAGCTGAATACTTGGAAAACGTTAAGAGAGATTTTGTAGCAACAGCAAAAGTGCTGAAACACAACTGTGAAGAGAACGGGCAGAGCGAGAGCTGTTTTAAGCTGGGGGCTTACCACATAATTGGAAAAGGTAGGTGTGTGCAGATACTCATTCCAAGAGTCTGTCCTACCTAAACATAGAAGTGCAAATGGACTTACAGAAGTGGGGAAAAAACACTTGATGGAGTTCTTTGTCATCCTTTCTTTGCAACAGTCAGAATATCTACTAAATATACCCACAATTAATTTATACTCCATTTCATATTCCTAAACGCTTCAAGATGACAGCTGTTAACACAACACAGCCTAACTGGTTGCAGTCCACAGACACCCTGAAAGCCCTGCTTATTCTAGCTACAAAGGACCAGTTGGGCTTCTATAACAAATCAACTTAATGTGAACTTGGACCCTCCATTTTAAACTTTTTAGAATCAAAAAAAATAATACCCAACGCTATTACCTTTATTAGCCATAAAAGCCTCTTCTGTGCCCTTCTCTGATTTTAGTTTCTCTTTGCTACAGTGGCCTGATTTTCCTTGCTGCGGCTATGGGAACATTTTATGTTTTTAAAGCTGCTGATTTTGGCTTTTGGCATTTTTTTCTACAGTCAGTAAACTCCCCAGCTTGTTGTCCTATGTGTCCATGCACACATAGGCTGTAATCCAGAGTTTTTTGACTGGAATAAAAACCCAGAACTAGAGGGTTTCTAGAGGAGTATATTAGCTGTAAAAACGCTGCAAAATGCAGCAAACAAGCATTTTTTTTTACACTTTTTTTTTTTTTTTTTTGAGCGAAAAATGTCTTTTTTTTTTTTTTTTGTAAAAAAAAAACACTAAAAGCGCAAATTCGGCTAAACGCTATTGCAAAAACACTAAAACCTGCTGAAAAACTCGTGTTTTTAATGTGACTTTATACAGCTAACTCTTATCAGCGTTATTAAAACGCCCGGTGTGCATGGAGCCTTAAGACCTTCTTATAGGGCCACCAGCAGCGGCAAGGGGTTAGAACTATAGGCAAAACTTTTTTTTTGGAGCGGGGGAGGGTTATAACCCCTGTCAGATTTGTATTTATTTTTATTTTTTTTTTGCCATCTGGGTCCCATTGCAGAGATTTCCCTTCACTTCTTGTCCCATAGCCAAACAGGAAGTGAGAGGAAATCCCTGAAAGTTAAAGTGTTACTAAACCCAGGACCCTGCATTTAATATATCTGGTCTCCCACAGTACACAGAACATGGAAATGCAATTATTTAGTAAATCTAAACTATGGCCACCAATCCAGTTTCCTGAATGGATATAAGCTCACACCACGGAGCCCAGGTAAAGGTATATTGTATATTTTGTTATTAAAATGGCAATTACAAAGCATAAAATGTCAACCGCGTGGCAATATTACATAAGCATACAGTCCGGACTTACTAAGATGGCTGCCGGTCCAAATTCCAGAAATGGTGACATGACATCAGCACGTAAGGTCACCCCTCTCCCCCCCCCCCCCGTTTTTGTTTTTTTTTGTTCAACAAACTGTCCCTTTGGTATGTTCATAAGCCGTAGAGGGTGGGGACAGCTGTCAGTGGGGATGAAACAATTCTTATCTGGGGGTTTGAAGAAAAAGGTTTCGTTGCAATCCCTTTTCCATTATTAAGTAAAGTTAGATCCAAAAAATTGATCTCCACCTGACTAAAGGTGTGTGACAATTTTTTATATTAAGGTTATTATACAAAGCTATTAAGAGATTCCACATCTCCCTGCCATAGGAAGAGGACATCTACTGTGTATACTGAGAAGGTAGAAGGTTAATTCCGGCCAATCTTGGGAATAGATGATGTCCTCTTCCCACCTGGCCATAAACAATTTGGCCAGGCTAGGTGCAAATTTTGCGCCAATAGCAACACCGTTGGTTTGTAAATAAGACCTTGTTACAACAGAAATAATTGTGGGTGATTTCAAATTCAAGTAACCGAAGAATAAATTGCTTTTGAACATCTGACGACACGCAAATCTATCTCTCTACCCCTCGCCTCACCCCTTCAGTCTCCGCCCGAATCACAAGCCTACTGAATGACATATCGGATTGGATGTCACTCCACTTCCTCAAACTGAACCTTTCGAAAACCGAGCTCCTAGTTTTCCCAACAGCCCAGCCCACGCCCCCCCCCCCCCCCCCCCCCACTTCTCCAACACAACCAACAATGCCACCATCAGTCCCACCCCGCAAGCCAGAGTACTTGGTGTCATCCTAGACTCCAATCTGTCCTTCAAAATGCTAACACTGACATACAAAGCTGTCCATAACACTGCCCCAAACTACATCACCAACCTGATATCCAAATACCACCAAAAACGTACTCTCCGCTCCTCACAAGACCTCCTTCTCTCCAGTTCCCTGGTCTTCTCCTCCCATGCCCGCCTCCAGAACTTCTCCAGGGCTTCCCCCATCCTCTGGAACTCCCTACCCCAATCCATCAGACTTTCACCTACCCTCCTCACCTTTTAGGCGCACCCTGAAAACCCATCTCTTCAGGGAAGCCTACCCCGCCCTCAGCTAATTGCCGATCTCATCCACTCTTCCTACCACTTCATCCCCCACAGCTATCCCTCCTGTACCACTATCCCCTCCCTCCTAGATTGTAAGCTCCAAGGAGCAGGGCCCTCGAACCCCTCGTGTATCACATTGTATTGTTATTGTACTGTCTCGTGTATTGTCTCCCATTGTAATGTACAGCGCTGAGCGAACTGTTGGTGCTATATAAATACTGTGTAATAATAATCTGGGATATCAATGGCCTCCTTCAGATAAAAATCTACTGCCTCCATCCCATCCTTATGGTCTATATTACTATATATGTATAGACAAAATGCAGCGCTTAAAAGAACATTGGAAATAATGATGAAACAAAGTCCAATAAAGGTGCTCCTCGATTCCCAGTGCAAATGGTAGAAATACACACTAACCAGAAAGCGTATAAGTAATACGCATGTGAGCATATATCCTGAAGGTCCCCCTCTCCTTTCTGGTCTGGTCAAGGAAGTAGCTGGGAAAGATGGAGATCCTACGCCCTCATGTGGTGAAAGAATGGTCCAGCAGGTCAGAGAAGAATCAATCAAGATAAGCCTCCCCCTTCTCAGGAACTGACACAGGGATCACTTAGGGCTGTAAGGGTTGAAAAGCTCCCGCTAAGAGTGGAAAGGCTTAATAGAGGCCAAATCCGATGTCTATAAAAACGCATGTCTCAAAAATTGCATAATAACTGTCTCAACGAATGTAAAGAAGCTGGAGATAGAGGCCTAATCCAATCATCTTAGGTCATTCCTGAGTATGTTAATACAAATTAAAACCAAAATAATGTGCACACATATAGAACCTGGAGCAGAATCAAGACTAATACCCTGCTAGTGTGTGGGTATTAGTCTTGATTCTGCTCCAGGTTCTATATGTGTGCACATTATTTTGGTTTTAATTTTCTGCAACAAATACCCCATAATGATGATGTGGAAGAAGTTCATTTTGAAATCTTTGCAATTTATTAAAAATATAAACCGAAAGAAATCACATGTACATAAATTTTCATAGCCTTTGCCAGGACACTCAAAATTGAGCTCTGGTGCATCCTGTTCCCATTGGTCATCCTTGAGATGTTTCCACAACTTGATTGGAGTCCACCTGTGGGAATTTCAGTGGATTGAACATGATTAGGAAAGGTATAAACCTGTCTATATAAGGTCCCACAGTTAAAGAGTGCATGTCAGAGCACAAACCAAGCCATGAATTGTCTGTAGACCTCCAAGACAGAATTGTGTCAAGGCACAGATCTGGGAAAGGGTACAGAAACATTTCTGCAGCATTGATGGTCCCAATGAGCACAGTGGCCTCCATCATCTGTAAATAGAAAAAGTTTGGAACCACCAGGAATGTTCCTAGAGCGGGCCGCTGGGCCAAAATGAACGATCAAGGGAGAAGGGCCTTAGCCAGGGAGGGAACCAATCACCTGGTGGTCACTCTGAAAGAGCTCCAGCGTTTCTCTGTAGAGAGAAGAGAACCTTCCAGAAGAACCACCATCTCTTCAGCACTCCACCAATCAGGCCTATGTGGTAGAGTGGCCAGACGGAAGCCTCAGTAAAAGAAAAATGGCAACCCGCCTGGAGTTTACCAAAAGGCACCTGAGGGACTCTCAGATCATGAGAATCAAAACTTTCTGGTCTGATGAAACAAACCTTGAACTCTGGTCTGAATGCCAAGCGTCATGTCTGGAGGAAACCAGGCACCGCTCACCACCTGGCTAATACCATCCCTACAGTGAAACATGGTGGTGGCAGCATCATGCTGTAGGGATTTTTTTCAGCGGCAGGAACTGGGAGACTAGTCAGGATCGAAGGAAAGATGAATGCAGCAATGTACAGAGAAATCCTTGATGAAAACCTGTTCCAGAGCGCTCTGGACCTTAGACTGGGGCGATGGTTCATCTTTCAACAGGATACCAACCCTAAGCACACAGCCCACATAAAAAAGGAGTGGCTACAGGCCAACTCTGAATGTCCTGGAGTGGCCCAGCCAGTGCCCAGACTTGAACCCGATTGAACATCTTTGGATAGATCTGAAAATGGCTGTGCACCAACGCTTTCCATTCAACCTGATGGAGCTTGAGCGGTACTGCAAAGAAGAATAGGAGAAATTGCCCAAAATAGGTGTGCCAAGCTTGTAGCTAAAAGGAC